CCAGTCGTACTCCTGGAAGTCGTCAAGCCTCTCCAACTGAAGTAGTTGAGCGCCTCGGCCCCAATACTAATCCCCCAGAAGGATTGGGTCCTCTTCCTAATCCTACAGCTAATAAGCCACTTGTTGAGGAATTTTCAAATCCTGAAACTCAGAATCTGGATGCCATGGAACAAGTTGGTCTGGATTCCTTACAGTTTGACTATCCTGGTAACCAGGTACCCATGGACTCTTCAGGAGCTACTGTAGGCCTCTTTGAGTACAATTCCCAGCAGCAGGTAAAGCATACACCTTCTTTCTTTAAGAAAGTCCTTGTAACTATATACTGGTGTATAACCAATGTAGTATGAGGCATTGATATGAATGGTGGAGTTTCTTGAACATTTAATGTTTTATTGATTAAAATGTCCTTGCATTTGAGTGCTTCTGATACGTGTTTAAAATATTTTATTCACAGCGTTCTAATTAGATGTGAAATATTTTGAAATTAATATTTGTATTAAATATTTTTCCTAATAGCTCTTTCAGAGAACTAATGCACTAACAGTTCAGCAGTTAACTGCAGCTCAACAGCAGCAATATGCATTAGCAGCAGCTCAGCAGCCACATATAGGTGAGTCTGTAAATTGTTTTTTTTGACTACAGTGTTAGAAAAATCTTGTTTAAAGTTATTAGACTGTTACTCTTTATTTTCCCATTTAACAATTGGTGCTATTTTGTTTATTTTTGAAACATCCCATCATCCTGTTGAGATCAACAGTAATAGATTATATGACAAGAGTATTGATTAGAGGAAGAATTATTTCTAGTTTGTTTTTGTTTGGCATTACCATGGATTGAACCCCTGGTGCTCTACCACTGAGCTACATCCCAGCCCTTTTTATTTTATTTTGAGACAGGGTCTCACTAAGTTGCATAGGGCCTTAATAAGTTGCTGATGCTGGCCTTGAACTTGTGATCCTCYTGTCTTAGCCTCTTGAGCTGCTGGAATTACAGGTGCATACCACTGTACCTGGCTTATTTTTAATTTGAGACAGGGTCTCACTGAGTTACCCCTGCTGGCCTGAAACTTGTGATCTTCCTGCCTCAGACTCCCAAGTATGTAGAATTACCAGTGTGCATCCCCAAGCCCTACTCTGATTATAATTTGCATCATTGGTTAAATAAAGATCTCAAACTTGATAAAATTTATCAGTGCTTAAGTGTTGTGTTGTCTCCCTACCCCCACTCCCCATGTGAAGGCTAGAGTTAAATGTCTGGACATTCAAGTGTGGTTATTTGTATTCACTTTCATGTAAAAGTGTTCATTTAAAAAATTGTTTAGAAATAGGAATTCCAAGAAAATTTCTCAAAATATTTTCTTTTTTATTAAGTTATGTGATCTCTGACCTTTAGATTTGTGAATTATTTATTTGTAACCTACTAGAGTTCAAGCTTGGCACATATTATGTTGTTTATATTGGGATTTTGTTGTTCTCCCTACTCCACCCCCCCATCAAGTACAAATCTTTACTGCTTATTAATACATATAAATCTTGTTAATGCATATAAACTTTGCTAGTAGGGGATTTTCCTTTTTATTTTTAAATAGTTATAAATTCACAGGGAATTTACAAAGAGAGTGCAAAGAATCCCATACTCCTTTGTTTAGTTTCCCTTAATGGTTACATCTTATAATTACAGCACAGTATCAAAACCAATAATGTGACACTGGTACTGTATATAATTTAGTCATTTTATTACATGTGTAGATGTTGTGGAACCATATTTATTTTATCTGACTTTAACTAAACTTCAGTTATTTTCTAGTTAAAGAACTTGTTAATACTCTATCAGAATCTGTGGAAGGAAGGGTAAATAATGCTAAGTTTGTTCTCTTCCCTTCATTTCTTATTGTTTTGTATCAGTGCAGTAAGGTTTCCTAGGTCCCACATTTCTCTTTTGTTTTTAATCAAAGGTGTCCAAATTTGTAGCTGACCTTTAATAGCAACATCCACCCAGGCCTTGTTTTCTTTTGTCTTTTTTTCCTAAATTCCTTTTATCCATGTACTTAATCCTTTCTTTTCGTAATGTTAAAAATGTACTGACTCCTGTATGTTCATGCAACACACAGTTTATATTACTTGGGGCTTTATGATATGTTTTAATGTTGCTCTTTGGATTCTTAAAACTTTTTTTCATCATTTGCCAATTTACCATTGTGGGTCTCCCCCCCCCCATAACAACTTCAGAATCAACTTATCTACTTATATAAGGTCAGATTAAGTTTTTTAATTAACTTATGGAAAATTAGTATCCTTATATTAAGTATTCTTATCCAGGTCATAATGACTCTTTACTTGATTATTTAGGTCTGCTTTAGTGTTGTTCATGAGTGCTTTATGTTTGTCATATAAGTTTAAATATTTATTCTTAATATTATATTTTGCCATCAAATAACCTCCTGTCATTCATTAAACATGCATGAAAGATCTTGAATATCATATAGTAGATTTAATGAATGGTATTTTCTAAAATGAAATCMTGCTTTCATTAAAATAAAAATGACTTGTATACATTCATTTGTTCTTTTAACATACTTTTTCAATTTCTAATATTTTATTTAAGATTTTTGCATCATTTTATTTTCTTTAGTTTTAGGTGGACACAATATCTTTTATTTTATTTTTATGTGGTGCTGAGAATCGAACCCAGTGCTTCACAGCATGCTAGGTGGGCACGTTACCACTTGAGCCACATCCTCAGCCCCTTTTGCATCAATATTAAAGTGACTTTAGTCTCTCTGTTTTTGCTGTTTTTTTTTTTGTTTTTGTTTCAACATACTGCTTCATAAAAAGAATTTCTAGAGATATTCTATTTTTTAAAATCATGTAATGCATTAAGTAATATTAGATTTACATGACCTTCAAAGATGTGGCAAAAGAACTCTGAAACCATATAGATAATTCAAATGAATTTGAAAACCTGACTGAGATAGAATTATTCTAAGAAAGCATAAGTTATCTAAGATGACCACCACATCTTAGTTCCACCCTTAAAAGGGACTGATTGTAAAAATTAATACATTTTATCAAAGTTTGCTCAGTCATGTCTTGGCTGGTTGATGGCTCATTTAGCATTATCCAATAGAAATATAATATGTAGTTTTAAGTTATTTGGTAGTCAGATTTTAAAATCTAAAAATACATAAAATTAATTTGTTTGTTACTAATGGATTATTTTAACCCATTATATCTATTATCATTTCAAAAAATAATCAGTAGAAAGCTTATAAATGAGAAATTTTGTTTTCTTCATATTAAGTGTTTGAAATCAGATATGCATTGTCCTACTTAGAGCTAATCTCAAGTTACACTACACTTGAAATGCCCAGGGATTATATGGGCTAGTAACTGCCACATTTGTCAGTGCAACTGTAAAGATTATGTTAGGATGGGGGTTGATAAAACTTTTTCATATATTAAGGGCCATTTAACTGGTAACTATTTTTAGCTCTGTAGGCAATATGATTTCAGTCACAACTACTACATTGTGCTGTTGTAGCATGAAAGTGGCCATAAATGTTTCGTGAATGAGTATCATTTACTGGCACTAAAATTCAAATTTCATATACTTTCCTTTTAGCAATTTTTTCCTCAACCATTTAAATATGTTCAGACTGTTCTTAGCTAATTTGTAAAACAAGGAAAAAATTAAGGGATTAACAGGGCACACTTAGCCCATAGAGTGGGCCAAAAGGTGATAATAGATGTAGTATATTTTTAAAAACGGACATTGACACTCTGCTCATCTGCTTTTGAGCTCAAAGGAAAAGATAAGGTTTTGTAGACAGCTGGGAATTTTTACAGCACAGGACATTGAATGAAAACTGATAGCAGTAATTGGCAATAAAGCCTGTGAAGACCTACAAGAGAAATAAACTACCAGGATTAGAGTTTGAGTAATGCTAATTATATAAATTAAGAATCCCAAACTATTAATAGAATGCTTGATTTGGAGGTTAGTTTCTAGGATGTAGTTGAGGCTCTTTTGATACCAAATGTGGACAGGTGAATGCAGGAAAAATTCACAAAAGATAGTGTTTCAAACAAAATAATAATAAAAATAAGGAAGGTCAGCTACAACAGTCATGCAACAGAGTTCACACTCAAGGTATAAAAATAAAGGGACTTTAAATTTTAAAAAGAACTTTGAAAACATTCAGAACATTAGAAAATAAAAGCCTTAAGCTGTCAGACATCCTTAGAGGTCTTCACATCATAAAATGATGCAAAATGAACCATTTCTGGATCTTGGAAGTAAAAACTATTGAAAAAAAATAGTTCTATGTAGACTGCATAACTACATGGCTGTTATTATTTAAGACAAAATGAAATAGGAAGTAAAACTTTAAAAATCTTCCAGAACACTGAAGCATTGCATAGTAATAAGGATATGAAAATAACAAGCTATAGAGTGAAATAGGGAATAACTAAAGATACATAAGGCATTTGTAAGGAAAACTACAAACTTTTCTAGAACTTTTGAAAAAATGGAGACACAGGCTTTTGGGAGAAAACTCGGCATCATCATTGTAAAAATGTCACTTCTCCCAAAATTGACTCTTATTTTTATTTATTCTAATTTGTTATATATGACAGCAGAATGCATTACAATTCATATTATACAATAGAGCACAGTTTTTCATATCTCTGGTTGTACATTTAATGAATGCTTAGTCAGAATTCCAACAGGATATTTTTTGTTTGTTTGAAACTTAGAAATTTGATGTTTGTGTTAGAAAATTAATGGAAAGCTAAAATTGTGGAGCAGGACTTGCTTATTGTTATTTATAGTAATTAAAACAATGTGGTATTAGCCCAGGAATATACAAGTAGTTTAGTGAACAAAAACAATCTTGTGTGTATGTGTATATGTGGGTGTGGGTGTTTGTGTGTTTAGAGTATCGTGATGGCATGAATTTTAATCTGATTGACATTTCAAATCAATAAATAAAGAATGTTTATTTGGAAAATAGCTTGGTAGGATAATTGAGCCTCATTCCTTTTGGATTGGAAATTTAATGAGAAAAAAGTATAAAAAGATTGATAAATTTTGCTTTACTGAGAATCAGAACCACAAATTAAGACAAAATGGTTGCTTTTGTTTGTTTATTTTAGTGTTTTACTTTACCTATCAGGTTGGAAATTGTTTAAAAAGTTTATTTTGGTCTTATTTTGGTGAGAGTGTGAGTGGCATCCTCCAATACTCTCAATAGAAATGTAAATTGGTACAATTTCCTGGAGGATAGTCTGGAAATGGATTAAGAATTTTTGTGTTTTTGCCCATTTAAATGAATTTTCATAAGACAATGATACTATAGAGACCCACATAGTTTAAAAAGAAAACTATTTATAGTAAGAGATTATGAACCATCAAAATGTATTTTTGTAGTAGACTATTTATGTTTCTTCTATACAATAGCATAAATACTTTGTGGCCATTAAAAAAAATGAGCTATGGTCTATGACTTAAAGATCTATTATTATTTGGCAAGTGGAAAAAGCATATTAAAATATTATAGACTACAATATCAAATGTTAAAAATTGAGAAGGGTATAAGCCAATTATTTTCTAATTGATAGATTCCAATAGTAATTTGAATGTTTTAAAACAATGATTTTTATGGTAAACCATAAAATATTTTTCCATCAAGGATGGCCTAGCTTGTAGAATTTTTTTTAGTATTAGTTTTTACTAATATAGAATTCTCTATTCTTATGATAAAGAAATTCCTGACAGATGAGAATAAGAATATGACTGAGCAAATGAAGGGGATTTTACTGAGCCCACACTATAATTTTTAATTCCTTTATAAAACAGTTCTTGAAATTGGCTGTTTGTACTTGTACATGAAATCACTGTTGTGGGTTGTGGCCTATATTTTTAAAAAATCAAACAGATAATGTGAAAAGTAATAAATTAAGAGCTGCACAATATAGAGTTTATTGGAATTGCAAAAGGTGATTTTTGTGGGTGTTGGGAATTGAACCCTCGGCCTTCCATGTGCTAGGCAAGCAAGCACTTTACCACTGAGTCTCATCTTCAGTCCCAGTAAAATCTTTTCTGCTGGACTTGTTTGTGGCATTATTCTCTATGTATAAGTTGATCTGAAATGTATTTTGTATTGTGGTTCATAGTCATAGACACTTTGAAAGCTAATAAGGTTTTAAAGTAGTTTCAGAATCTTGATTTTTTTTTTTAAGGCCTAGATAAGGCCACTATTCCCTTACTATTCACTTATCTCAGTTACTTTCCAGAAGAGAAAACCCTGACAACCCAGTTTCAAAGAATTTAAAAGTTCTGTAGGGTAGTAGGACATAATAAATGTTTAAAGCTAAAACTACTACTGTTCAATAGTAGTTTCTCATTCAGTCTTTAGTAAGCTATACTGTGGCTTAGGAATTCAACACAAGGAAGGAGGATTAGATCTGTCCTGACAAAGCACTCTATCCATCAATAAAAGTCAATTACCAATTAGAAAACAGTATAGAAAGTCAGAGAGGAGGGATATTAAATTTGGGAAAGGGTTGATGGGATGAATGAGCTGTAGAAAAATAAATGAAATAAAACTGGTGTTATAACCAAAATGAAGTCTGCCAAACTTCCTGATTCATACTAAGTGGTTTTGACTTTGTCCTCAAGTTAATAGGGAACTAAAGAAGAGTTTAAATAAAGTGACTTTAAGTTCACTTTTATATTTAGTAAAGGCTAAAAACAAGCAAACAAAAAAAAAATGTGAACATACACTTGTAGTACTCCTGGGTATTCCAAGGAGTGGAATTAATTCTCACAAAAAAAACATACAGGGTAATTGATGGTATACCGGCATCTTAAACAAAAAACTTTAGAATCAGTTACTGTTACATACACAGGGTCACTTAGTAAAAAATTGAACCATTATAATGCTGCTTTGCTTCCCCCTCCCAGATTCAGAATAGAAATGTTTTTACTTAATGAAGAAAATATACTTTGCATTTTTATTCATTATTTCTCCTCCTTTTAAATGTAGCTGGTGTGTTCTCAGCAGGCCTTGCTCCAGCTGCATTTGTGCCAAATCCATATATTATTAGTGCTGCTCCTCCGGGGACCGATCCATATACTGCAGCAGGATTGGCTGCAGCAGCAACATTAGCAGGTAATTTATTGTTCATCTTTGTTGTTTGTTATGAATTTAGTTTTAATTTTGGATTAAGCATTATTTTTATCTGTTTGGGCAATTTGCAATTCCTAAGAAAAACTGAAACATCCAGAATGGATTGAAATTTTCAGGGAGTTTTTTGTTTTTGTTTTTAATTTTTTTTTTAATATGTTGATGGACCTTTATTTTTTTATTCATTTATTTGTATGCTGTGCTGAGAATCGAACTCAGTGCCTCTCACATGCTAGGCAAGCTCTCTACCACTGAGCCACAGCTTCAGCCCCTCTGGGAGTTTATTTTTTATTCAATTGTAATGTCACGGAAAGTCCTAAGCAATAACCCTTTTATTTTTCTTTTCTTTATGTAGTTGTTTTGCATTTTCATTTTTTTAATTTTAGAAATCTTCTATTGTTGATTGTGCATCTCCATTTTAATACCTACAGAGACAATGGAAAGTAATGTATTAGAGGTAGGTAGTGTGAATATCCGAGTCAGGGGTAGTATAAGATCTTTAGAAGTCTTGAGAGAATATAGATCTTAAAGTTGAGTAATGTTAAAATGTGCAAGCCAGCTGGGAAAAAAGTGTCGGACAGAGCTGGGCTCTGTGACGCACACCTGTAATTCCAACAACTTGGCAAGATCCTATCTTAAAATTCAAAAAAAATCTTTTTTAAAGGTTGGGGGTATAGCTCCATGGTAAAGCACCTCTCTGGGTTCAGTTCCCAGTACCAGAAGGAAGGGGAAAAGGTAGGATGGAGTTGAAAAGAACTTCCTGAAAATTTTCAAAGCCCAAGATTACCACTCAAAATCTGACATAAATTTATTGATTGATTGTGTATCTTCTGAGAAGTGTCTGTTCAGTTCCTTGGCCCATTTATTGATTGGGTCATTTGGGTTTTTTTTGGTGTTAAAATTTTTGAGTTCTTTATTCTAGAGATTAGTGCTCTATCTGACATGCGAGTGGTAAGAATTTGTTCCCAATTCATCTCACTGATTGTTGCTTTTGCTGAGAAGAAGCTTTTTAGTTTGAATCCATCCCATTTATTGATTCTTGATATTAATTCTTGTGCGATAAAAGTCTTATTAAGGAATTTGGGGCCTAATCGACATGATGGAGATTAGGGCCTACTTTTTCTTCTAATAGACACAGTGTCTCTGGTTTAATTTCTAGGTCCTGTTCCACTTAAGTTTTATGCATGGTGAGAGATAGGGGTTTAATTTAATTACCCTAAGTACATGTATAAAAACACGAAGGATGTGACTCTACTTTGTGTACAACCAGAGATATGAAAAATTGTGCTCTATACATAATGTAAATTGTAGTGCATTCTGTTGTCATATACAACAAATTCAAATTTAAAAAATTTTAAAAACCTGACATGAAAACTAGTGTATTGAGGATGGGGATACAGTTGGTAGAGTGCTTGCCTCACGTGCACAAGGGCCCTGGGTTCAATCCTTAGCGCGCGCGCGCGCACACACACACACACACACACACCCATACACACACACACACACCCCTAGTGTATTTGTTGCTTATTTCAGTGAGGAAGAGTTGTGAGGTGCTCAGACACAGTCTTAGTGAGCAATGCTATTTGCTGATTTTATGTAAGGTTGTTGGGAAATGTTTGTTTTAGGTTAAAATGACTACAAAGACAGAAATGAGTTAAGCGTGGTTTATGTTGTTTTTAGAGGCAAGAATGGGTTGCTGTTGGCCTTAGAAATGTGTTTGTTGGAGTGAGTCTGCTGATGGGCTGTATTCCAAAACTTGAGACTGGGGCTAGTTTTTTTTTTTTTTTTTTTCAAAGATATCATCTCTGAAGTGATTATCACTTATCAATCTGATGTTTTTAATATAATACCAGGTATTTATTTATTTGTTATCATGCCTGTTGAACAGTCTACTTTTCCTGGGAAGTTGAACTTTCAAACTCAAGATCTTTTTTAAAAAGTGAGCGAAATATATTAATTTCAAAATCTTGCTCTATACTTAACTAGTAGATTAAAACTAACTTCTCATAGTCAGTGACTTTTGGTGTAGAAATAATATATCACGAAACTCAATAATGTGAGCTTTTCTAGTGCCGTTTAACTGGATGTTAGTGCTGGTATAATGCCATACGGAGAACCATTTACTTATGAAACTGAAAGCAACAACTTTAAGAGGTCATTTAGTTTGGGAATAGGCATACCTCACATTCTGGACTCAGGTAGCAGTGCTGTACAATGAAATGCAGTGTAAGCCAGAAAATGAACTTTAAAATTTTCTGGTAGCCACACTGTAAAAGTACAGAATAGGTAAAATTTATCTCAATAATACATTTGATTTAGGTCAACAGATCTGAGATATATTTGAGCATATAATGAATATTTTTTAATAATAGATTTTTTTTCATGCTGTCTTCAAAATCCTTTGTAAGTTTATACTCTTAAAGCTCATCTTAGTTGGTCTTTTCTGTCTTTTAATTGTTCAGTACCCACAAGTGGATTCTGGCCATGTTAGCGAGTGAGGATCTAGGTAGATGTGTGACTATTGTTTTTACAATGTGTACTTTTTTTTCTTAGGAGTTTGAGGATTTTGAAACTTAAGATTTTTTTTTAATGTTTTAATACTCCATGCTATAGGTTGTGTTCTYTAGAAATACTTTTTGCATTTAAGTTCACATAATTTTTCATTTTAGTTATTTGGTCAGTACTATTTGGCTTCATTTTCTTCTATAACAAAGGGAAAATGAGAGTTTGACTTCTTAAAATATACAAAGCAAATGTTCTAAATTTTGACTAATAAAGTTTTAGAGTGTTGTRTAAATTAGAGATCATGATATTTTATTCATTTTAATGATATCTTTGAAAGCCAAAAAATTCATCTTATTGTGCATATAATTAATTCTATTTGCTCTTCACAAATCAAATATCTTGCACAAAGTAGAATAGAACAGGACCAATTTCTTTTGTATTTTCTAATTTGCTTTCTTACCTCAGGTTTTCTCTGAGCTTGTATCTAGTTCTTGTCTTGACTCACTAGTCTCATTTTTCTAACCACATAAACACGGATGTCTCATTTGTTTTCACATAATTTTCTATTGCTTTGTGAGAATTGTGGCTAATTTTGTTTCAAATATGAAAAATATTTTTAAATTGAATGCTTGCAATTCAGATACTTTTGTAGCAAGCTTGGTACCCAAATATACCCTAGTTTTATGTTATATTTGGAAAAGCAAAAGGCGGGGGGGGGGTGATGTAATTCATTTCAGTTATCAGAAAGTATTCGTTTTCAGAGAAGTAACAAATTGACCATAAGAAATTCTAACAAGTTTTGTTGTCCAATGTTCCCTGAATGTGTTATCTGTGTTCATCTGTATCAGGCCATAACTGGCAGTATGTATATGTTGAATATAAGACTAAGTGTCCTGTCAGTTTATTGGTAGTATTTAGCTTTGCTTCACATATCTCCATTAAAACCATAGCTGTCATTCTTGAATACTTTCCTCTCTTAATAGTCCGAACCTGAATGATATTTGCTTCCTAATAGAATCAGAAAAAGGAGAAAGGATATAGCTCATGTAAGTGGGTAGAAGAGTCTAAGGACATGTTCTGCTCTTAAGTCTTATACCTGTCCCCTTTTATAATCCAGTGGTAATATAAAATCTAGTTGTTGGGTTTTTTTGTTGTTGTTTTGTTTGGATGGGGTTTAGGTCCAGCCGTGGTTCCACCTCAGTATTATGGTGTTCCATGGGGGGTGTATCCAGCCAACTTATTTCAGCAACAAGCTGCAGCTGCAGCAAACAATACAGCCAATCAGCAAGCAGCCTCACAAGCTCAGCCTGGACAGCAACAGGTAAGCCTTCCTTCATTAAATAATATCTGAGAATTCTTTGGTGTTGAAAGTGTTTTTTCCTCTCTCTCTTTTTTCCTCTGTGAAACATAGTAGCTGTTGTATAGTTGGTATACAACTATTTTTGCATATTTTCCTGATTAGTATTATATGAATTCAAAGAGTTGGTTATATTTCATTTCTGTTATTAAAATATCTAGCAATTTTTAAGTTTTATCACTTAAAAGTGCAGTAATAATTTTACTATCAAAATAATTACACCTTCATTTTTATCCAGGTATTTAAATTACAAGTTTAAATATTAGTATGTTTCCAATGTAAAATTAGATTATTAGGTACATTGTTATTTTCCCCCCTCCATAATGGGGATTGAACCCATGGATGTTCTACCACTACTATATCCTTAGCCTTTTTTTTTTTTCTTTTGTAGTTGTAGATGGACAGAATGAATGCCTTTATTTTATTTGTAAATAGCAAGCCCTTTGCCACTGAGCTAYAGCCCCAGCCCCTCCTACCCCTTTTTATTGTGAGAGAGTTTTGCTAATAAGTATCACTGGCTGGCCTCAAATTGCTATCTTTCTGCCTCATCCTTAATTTCTTAAAACAGAAAGAAAATGTTTATCATGAGATTTTTTTTATATCAACCCCTTTCTTAGGTAAATGCAAACAAACTATTTGGAAAATATCACAATTCTGACTGTTAATATTCATCATATTTATATCAAAGAAGCAACTTAATACAATGGCATTGCTTACTTGACTGTTAATTTTTTATTCTGAATTTTCTTTACTATATTTTTATACTGTATTGATGCTCTGTTGGGTTAGTCCTTGTACATCATATCACAACATTATTTAACACACCTGTGTGTATTGCTGACGAATGTGGTAAATTTACAGTGAATCTACTTATCTACTCTGTCTTGAATTATTTGTGAACTTTATGATTAAGCTCATCATGCTTGTATATCAACACTAAAACAGCTGTGTGCAGCAAAGCAGTAAAACTTGACCTGCCTCCAGAACTTTTCACTTTGTTTTAATGTTATTTTGGTGGTTTTTTTCACTTAAGTTTTATGTTTAGAAAGCAGCTGTTTTTTGTTTTGTTTTGTGTTTGTGAATTTTGAAAACTTGATTTGAATTTTTTGCTCTGTATCATAATCTCATAACAGATCACCAGAGTTTCTTCTTATAAGCTTCCTGTGTTTCAGTTTCAATCTTAGAAAATAATTTTAATTTTTTTAGTCTTACTCATTCATTTTCATTCCTCCCCGCTCTCATATCTCAAATATCCGTATCTCCTCCACCAACAAACACCACCTTGGTAAGAATATTGATATTAGAAACAATTTTTACCCTCAGACCTTCTAGAACCTCCATGTTGCTTTATTGATTGTTAAAGTTGTCAAGAGCCAGTGATATTTTTTATGTGAAGTATTGTGTAATTTTCATGCTAAAATATAAATTTTCATTGTATGAAATGTGTTCACATAATTGTCTTTGGTAAATTGTTACTATATGATAATGCTTTTAAGAAAGCCATCTGTCCTTTATAGGTTCTTCGTGCTGGAGCAGGCCAGCGTCCTCTTACTCCCAATCAGGGTCAGCAAGGGCAGCAAGCAGAATCACTTGCAGCAGCTGCAAATCCAGCTTTGGCATTTGGTCAGGGTCTTGCTACAGGCATGCCAGGTATATAATTGGTTAATTGTAGTTTTTTGGTTTTGTTTTTTTGGGGTTTTGTTTTGTTTTGCTTTGTTTTTTGTTTTTTTGCAGGGTGCTGGAATTTGTAGATATTTGAATAGATTTAAAATGATATTTGTGGTCTGTCCATCCTGAAGAGTGAATAAATCAGAAGTGTCTTTGAAGTCTTGCCTACCTTGTAAAAGATTATTTAGAACTCACATGCTAATAATTTAAATCAATACTGAGGTCATGAGACTTAGTGACTTGAATAGCAGATATGTATATCAAATTCTTTGTAACATGAACCACAGCGTCTTTTCAGCTGAACCTAGCCCAGAATTTTTGGTATAATGCTTAGAACTTAAACCAGTTGGTTAGAGTTGGCATATAAGACAAAAACCTATTTGCCATTCCTACCTTGTGAGAATAGCCATTTAATTAGTCAATATTGAAAAGTTTGCAACTAATATTTCTAATTTCAACATTGTCTGATCATGTTTAACCTATTTATACCCATTTAAACTATTGTTATTTATAATCTGATAGCAACATTGTCTCTAATATGCTTATGAAGACCTAATGTATAGAAAATCACAGTATAAAATTTCTGTCTATTGCCACTGTACAACTTTTCTAAAAGGGCAATTAGAGTGGTTTGTTTTTGATTTGTTTTTGGTGAAACTAGATAGAAGATTACTGTAATAATAGTGGAGGAAGGAAAATATTTTCTTTAGACCAAAATGCATAATCAGGATGTTTTGTTTATACTGTGGTTAATTTCGGGGGGATCCTGGGGATTGTACCTCTTGTTTTATTTGGGGGGGTTGTTTGTTTTTGTTTTTTAGTTTCTACAGGTCAGGGGCTCATTCACTATTATTAAGGTACATCTCCAACCCTTTTAGTTGTAAAGGTAAAATTTAAAGGCCACATTTGAATATCAGTAAGTGTGCTAATTTTCACTTTTGACATATGAGTGGTTACTTGTGTGTTAAGGATTACTTATTAATGAAATGTGAATTCCAATTTCCATTAATTGTAAGATTATGACATTTCTATTCAGATCATTTAGAAAATGTGTTCAGTGTTGGAAAAGATCTTTAATAATATCAAAAGTTTCTTTTATGCAGACACATATTTCTATGTGTTATTTTAAGGATGTATATATTAATTTGCATTTATTCTGTTCTCTAATTCTGAGTCTAACATCTCGTCTAGTTCTCTGGATAAAAGATAGTTTCATACTTTTTATCCCTGAAGTACCAATAATAGTAGACTAGGGGGCATTCTTGAATTTTATTCTTTTACCACAGCTATATATATTTCCTTCCTGGGAAGCTACTGTTGTGGTGCCATTGTAGATTAGAAACCTTGGCACAAGCAACCTATTGGGAAATGGACTGTGAAGCTGACATTATTATAGGCATCTGGAATCAGGGCTTAAAAGAAGTGAGTCAGGAGTTTTTGAAAGCTATTAAAACTAAGACTACTATGGTTCTTCTTAGATTTTAACTACCCATAGATAGGGGAGTCATAGAGAACAATAGTGCTTCCTGTCTAACTAGGTTCTCTGTGGATCCTGGAATTCAGAACATGCTTCTGTCTTATGTATATTTGCTGCTGCCTGTAAACTATTACTGATCAGTCTAGGTTCTTGATGCTGGTCCTATATTTATTTCTTATAAATGTCTTTGTTGTTTTTTCTTCATATTCAGCTAGCTGATAGTCTTTATTTCTTTCCCTTTTWAAAAAATTTTTATTAGTTATTGATGGATCTTTATTTGTATACATGTGGTGCTGAGAATCGAACGAAGTGCCTCGCACATGCTAGGCAAGCTCTCTACCTCTGAGCCATAACCCCAGCTCCAATCTTATTTCTTCTCTTATTTATTTATTTATTTATTTGTTTGTTTATTTATCTTATTATTTCTTATCTACTTATTATTTCTGTTATATTTTATCAACTTTAATCTTAGAATTTATTTTTATATTTACTTTTGTTCTTTCTATTCTATGAGAAACCTCTTTATTGTTAACTTTTCTTTTGGTAGTGTGAGGATCAAAGTGTTTCATTCATGSTGAACAAAAGCTCTACCACTGAGCTATATTCTCAGCCTCTGCTTTATTTTTTGTTTTGTTTTGTTCCACAGTGAACTCTGTTGATAATTCTAGAAGAAAACATTTTTTTAATACTGTTATCTTTTTGGAGTAGTGATAAAAGTTGGTAAAACTTGTAGGATATGTCTTTACAGTAAATTATTTTCCTTAACCTTTTGGCCTACCACATTTAGCCTTTTTAGAAATAAGAATATAAAAATCATGAGAAACCTTACTAGATTTAGTATTTGTATGTCTCAATAACTTGTGGGCTGTTCACATGATTCCCACACTCAAAGCCTTTCTTTAATGCCTTCTATATTTCCATTCTGCATGAAGTATCTCCAGCTTTCCATATTCATCTACAAAGTATAAAGCTATTAAAAAGAGCTCACTTGAGAAAATTGATATTTCTTCAAGTCTTATTCTTAACTCTTCTACCTTCTATCTTTTGCATTTATCTTTCACATTCTGATCATTGTCTTCTATTTAATCTTTCTGCATAATTGTTTGTGCCATCTGTATTATCCCTCTTTGATCTCTTCCCTTTCCTTACCACTCATACAATCACAGTTACAAAAGGATAATACAATGGAAATTAGAGACTTTTGAACTGAATTACAGTTAATTATTAAAATTTAAACTTGTGGAGTGCAACTAAAACTACATAAAAGGGAAATGTCTATATTTAAAGCATATGTCAGACTAGAAGTCAGTGAACTGTGTATCCATTAGAAAACTAAAAGGAGGAGAATAAAGCCAAAGAACATAAGGAAGAGCATAATAAAGATAGATGCTGATGTGAATGAAATAGCACACATACAATCAAAAGGATCAATTATCTCAGAACTATTTCTTTCAAAAGACTCAAGAGTTGTAAGCCTCAGAACGGCTCATCAAAAAGAAAGGTTGGGGATATAGTTCAGTTGTGGACTGAGCTATATCTTACAGGGAGCTGCTGGGTTCAGTCTTCAGTACTTGGGTAAGGGGGCGGTGGGATGATAGAAGCCATAAGTAACTAGTGTCAGGAAGATTAAATAATCATAAGATACTAGGCAGAATCTCATTAATAAATTACAAAAATGTAGACTGGGTAAATGCCTTGTGTTGTCCATCTCCACTGCATAGTAAATAACAACTCCATTGTTTTAAAACTTAGGCCAAACATAGGAAGAACAGTTCATTCCTTTTTTTCCTAACACTGCAAGTCTAGTCTCATGTCTAGCTGCTGGGTCTCACAATCTAACTCTTCCCTCTTCTCTAATATGGTCACCATTACATCTCTCACCTGGATTAGCTTTCTGTCCAGGTTCTCCTATTTCATATTGTCCCCTGATCAGTCATTTTGATTAATCGTCTTCTATCACTCTGTTTCAGCCATACTGGCTTATTTTCTCTCTCCTCCAATTTTTCTTCATAAATAATTTTGTATAGAGGTTCTTCTTTACCCCCAGTTTAAAATTATCAGAACTTCTATGACTACTCAGTACTTCTTTTCCACTCTCCCTATCTGATTTTCTGTAATACTTAACATACTCTTTTGACTTTTTTTTTTTTTTTTTTTGGTCTGTTTGCAGTAGAAAGTAATATCAAGAGTAAAGGCATTTCTCTTTATTGTTTCTTGCTAATATCCCAATACTCAGAAGACTCCCTGGCATTTGGTAGCTACTTGATGAATATTTTGCAAATGAATGGATGTATAAACAATAAATTAAGCTAAGTTGGGAATGGGAGAGGGAAAGAAAACATCTATGGGAGGAAACAATACACTGAAGCCCTGTGGTAAAAGGAAACAAGGTGCCCTTGAGAAATTTGAAACTTCCTTATTCCCAGAGTGTAAAATGGTATGAAAGTAAAACTAGAAAATGGCCAACATAGCAACAAATTCATTGTGGGTTGGATTCAGAGTTATGATTTTCATTTTAAACCCATTGAAAGGTTTTGAACAGGGTGTGATATTAAATAAAGATTGCTCTGGAGAYTCCCGAAAAAACTAGGCATGGACCATCATATGACCCAGCTGTACCACTCCTCGGTATTGATCTTTAAAAATTAAAGTCATTATATAGCGATACTTATATACTCATGATCATARCAGCACAGTTCACAGTAGCCAAACTGTGGAGTCAGCCTAGGTCTCCACAATCAACAGATGAATGGATAAAGAAAAAATGTTACCAGTATTTGTACACAATGGAGTCTTATTCAGCCATAAAGAAAAATGAAATTTTCATTTGCAGGAAAATGGATGCAACTGTAGAACATTGTGTTAAGCAAAATAAGCCAGACTCAGAAGGTCAAGGGTCATATTGTTTTCTCTCATGTGGAAGCTAGATAGGAAAAAGGGGGAAGAAAAAAGGTGGGGGCAGGGTGTCATGAAAATCGAAGGAAAMTCAGTAGAGGAAAAGGAACAGGGAGAGGGAGAAGAGGGAAAGTACTAGGGAATGATACTGGCCAGATTATATTGTTATAATGTAACATCAGATCCCACCATTATTTTCAACCAATTAAAATATTGGGGGGGGCAATCACTCTGGAGAATGGGGAATAGAATTGGGGCAAAAGAGCATGAATAGACCACATAGATCTAGTTGTATAGGGTAGTGGCAATCAGGAGAATGAATGGGTTTGAGAAAGATTGAGGAGGTCAAATAAACTGTCTTAGGGACTACAGGCAAATTCCTTTGTTTGGGAATTTATACTACCTTGTGAGTATTTGCAGTCAAATGTTCGTATGGATTAACTTTTATTTTTTAATTAGGATTTAATAAACAATGATACTTTTTAACAAAAGTTATTTTCTTTATGTCATGAATTTAGGACTAGGACACGTGTACGCCTTGAAACTATCAATTGGCATCTACAGTGTGAGATTACTAGTAATGTGGATATTAGCATTGTGCTAATGCTTTATACTTGGTCAGAATTGCTGTATTTACTTAAAATGCATATGAAAATGTCAACCTTAGTGAAGTGTTTATCCCAGCACAGTTTATTATTATTGAAATGAATTTATCCCACTGTGTTTGAATACATTTTCATACTGCCTTATAACTATAATTTTACAGTGACTTGCTTCAGCATAGTGTTCACAAAATAAAATTCAAGAATTGGTGTTAGAGTATAATTGAGTATATTCTGTTTTTGAAAACTTTTATTAGAAATTGCCAATACATCAGGTGTGAATTATTATTACTGTGTAAGGTGCCCTTTTTCAACCTGAATTCCAGGAGAGAAATAAGCTTTATTCCCCCTAAAGTAGCCATCATTATTTATAGCTCCTCTAGAACTCTACTTGTAGTGCACTTACAAAATAGTTACTTGAATAATCTTGGGTTCAGAGGAGGGATTTCTGTGAGAAGGACTGCTAAGAGGTAAGATTGACTCTCCTAATAAGAATTGTTACCTGCCTTGTGCTCAAGCCTACAACGGAACTAATACATGTATGATTTTATGGGGGGGGCTACTGGGGAGTGATCTCTAGGGCACTCGACCACTGAGCCATGTCCCCAGCCCTTATTTTGTGTTTTATTTAGAGACAGGGTCTCACTGAGTCGCTTAGTGCCTCGTTTTTTCCTGAGATTGGCTTGAACTTGCAATCCTCCTGCCTCAGCCTCCCAAGCTGCTGGGATTACAGGTGTGCACCACTGTGCCCACTAACAATTACGATTTTTAAGGTATCTTGTCAGTTTATATTTTAGGTTTTTGGAGAGATGCTTACAAATGAAAATCTAAGGGAATGTTCGCAGTGAGGCACTTAGTTTAGAACTTTTCTGAAATTTCATAATAAACAAACATTTTTATAGTGTTCCTCTACTCTTCCTACCTATGCTATCACAAGTGATTAAATGGTTATATTTTTCTACTGTCAACCCTTGATAGCCTATAGTTTCTGTATTAAGGAAAATAATTCTTTTTGTGGTTCATAAGTGAAAGGCATTTTTGCTGAAGGTAGCTCTTAAAAATTTAGAGAAAAAAGGTTTAATTACATTCTAGTAATTTTCTTTAGTAACACCTTCTTAAATGTGTTGTTTTTCGTATGGTAGATATTTAAGGGTTTTATACTGATAATACAAAATAGCTGTTGTGATTGACAAAAAACAGAAATGCAGGGGAAAATAAACATGCTTTCTGTAGTAAGTGTTTTTATTAGTAAACATTTACTTTATGTTATCTAGGTTATCAAGTACTAGCTCCAACTGCCTATTATGATCAGACCGGTGCCTTAGTGGTTGGCCCTGGAGCAAGAACTGGCCTTGGAGCTCCAGTTCGATTAATGGCTCCAACACCTGTTTTAATTAGTTCAGCAGCAGCACAGGCTGCAGCAGCAGCAGCAGCAGCTGGAGGAACTGCAAACAGTCTTACAGGCAGTACAAATGGTCTGTTTCGGCCAATTGGCACACAGCCACCTCAGCAGCAGCAGCAGCAGCAGCCAAGCACTAATCTGCAGTCTAATTCATTTTACGGGAGCAGTTCTTTGACTAATAGCTCCCAGAGCAGTTCTTTGTTTTCTCATGGACCTGGTCAACCTGGAAGTACATCTCTTGGATTTGGAAGTGGTAGTTCTTTGGGTGCTGCTATAGGCTCAGCTCTCAGTGGATTTGGTTCATCAGGTAAGTTTGTAAGTTGAGTTTGCTCTGCTAAGTGGACATGAGATATTTGTGTTTTTAATATTAAGATAAGCAATAATAGCATATAGTATAGGAAGGACACAAAGTATTTGATTATTGATTTTATTTTATGAAAGAAAAATGTCTGCTGCACGGCTTTTAAATGCCTTGAGTGTTTAGCTCATTTCTAGCAGCACATCCTTCATTCAAATATAATACATTTCCTTTTCCCACAGCTTTAAGAATTTATTACTGTATTTTTTATTTTAGTAAGGTTTGTTTCAAATGGTGTTACATGCTAATTATTACTCTTCCTTATTCTCCATGTAATGTTAATGTTTGAGGAAATATGTTACCATCTTAAAATTTGAATTATAAAAATAATAATTGTGTGTTTATGGAATGATTCCTTCTAAATGCTTGAGATTCATGTGGTTTACTTTATTTGGCATAATGCCTAAAATATATTTGATATAGTGAAACATTCTAAATAAGCCCCTAGAAAGTTAACAGTGAACTGGGCATGGTGGTACACATTTGTAATCCCAGCTACTTGGGAGACTGAGGCAGAAGGATCACAAACGGAGGCCAGCCTCAGCAACTTTGGGAGACCCCGTCTCAAATTTTTGCAAAAGGAATGGGGATGTAGCTCAGGGATATATGCCCCACTTCTGCAAAAGAAAAGAATCAAGCAAACTACCAGTGTACTTACCTTTATTTTAAATTAAAAGTTAGCATTTGTCACTAAATATTTATTTATTTAAAACTATATCTTTTAGCTTTAAATAACACTCAAGAAATTATAATTTTAAATGTCTTCACATAAGGAAAAAACAGTTTACCCTTAAAATTGACAGCCTTCACAAGGCAGAGAGATTAAATTTGGACCTTCAAAGATTTTCTATTTCTGTAACATCATATGGTAGTTTTTTTTTTTTTTTTTTTTGGACTGAGGATTGAACCCAGGAGCACTTTACCACTAGGCTACATTCCAAGCTCCCCTCCCCTTTTAAAAATACCTTTATTTATTTTTATGTGGTGCTGAGAGTTGAACCTAGTGCYCCACTTATGCTAGGCAAGCGCTCTACTGCTGAGCTACAACCACATGTCCTAGAATCTTTAATATCTATTTCTTATCTATATTCCTACCACATCAAATTTACATTCTTCTCTGGTGTGGAAAATGACAAACTAATACAATGTCAGTCATCAGATGCTTGAGGAAGTGTCTTCTGAGCTCTTTACCTTTCATATTTACAGGAGAGGTGGCCTAAAGAATGGGCTTAAGAACTTCTGAGGGAAAATCCATTGAACTTGGAGGCTCTTCGTTCTTTTAATTTTTCTACTTTTTTCATTCCTTTTGGAGTTTAGCAGTACAGCTTGAACATTCTTATAAAACTCATTGTAACACAATTGGTATGTTTTCCCCAAAGAATTCTAAATATTCTGATGAAAACTGAAARAACATATAACTTCAAAAAATAAATAAATAAATAAACTTTGTGGAAATAATTATTTCCTAAACTTGAGTTTGTTGAACCAAAATAGTCCAGGGGGTAAAACGCTGTTAAAAGCTCTGTGTTCCCTTTCTTATTAGTATGTCACTGATGGTCTGGTATAGGTTTGAAGGTCCCCCTATTCAATTCTTCCAGATTCTCATTTGTWAAAGTCTTTTTTCCTCTATGTTTTGGAACTGTTTGGCATGAACATTTTGTCCCCTTCAGTTGCCTCTTTTCCAAAAACTTAACTTTCATGCCTTCCTTATTTGTAAGCATTGCTTACTCAGTTCCAGTGTCCAGGTCCCGAAAGGTGCATTGTATCTTGTTTGAAGAGGGCTTGAGCAGTTGCCACCCCTAACAGTCACTTAGTATGCTGTGTATCATCTTCTCCTTCCTCTTCGATTTTTTTCTGAGAATTCATTTAAGTGCTGCACATATGTCCCCTTATAATAAGTCCACTGCCATTTCACATTGCAGCAATTGTAAGTTTATTTTTGAAAGCTAAAATATAATAGGGTTGTGTGCATATGTACACACACAATCATTTTTTTACCTATGATGAAATATTGTTGAACAGTGTTCCCAAGTTTGTAATATAATTGGCCAGGAAGCTTAGCCATTCTAATATAGGAATTAAATCATGATCCTGTGACCTTTATTTTTAAATTACTATTAATAATMAAAAGTTTGTAATTTAATATCTTATACATAGTTAATGAGTGATTAAAATTTCCATCATGTGTCTAACCTTAGATATTTTAGGTAGATTTTGTTTCTTATGTAATGAAGTTGCAGATAATTTAGACATAATAAAACCTGAGGAGCCAATTTTTTAATGTTTAAAGTAATTTTCGAATTATTTTTTGAATGCTTGGCTTGACTTTTCCCTTCTGGAAGAAAGAAATACTGCACATGTCAAACTGGTTTCTTTCGTTAGTTGCCAGAGGAATGATAATGCTGATGTTCTCATTAGAGAGCTGATATCTTTTTCCTCATCAGTTAAATTATTTTTTGAAATAAATAGGAATTTAAAATATAGTATTTAATACAAATGTTTTTGAAAAATTGCTTTGACAGTGTCCTTTTAAATTAGCATAGTTAATGTATCATACATTGCCAATTTTGCCAAAACCAACTCCAGAAAAGCTATATTAAAGCACGATCTGTTTTGCAGAGACTGCATTAGCTGATATAAAAGGTTGAATAGCATTATATTGTGCCTAATATGGTAGGTAGCACAAGCCTGGTTTTTTGTTGTTGTTGTTTTGGGTTTTGTTGTTTTGTTTTGTTTTTTCCTTTGTCCATTGTAGAATTTTAAATTTGGCAAAACCAATGTAATTTTGGTTCCTATCTATGTTATAAACTTTAACTTGGTTTACCCATCATGTACTCCGCTAATTGTTTTCTTTAATTCATAGTCTGTATGACATATATGACTTGTGATTAGAAATCCAAGATTTAATAGAAACTTACAATTCCTTGAAAAGAATTGCCATATTGGTCCGAATATAGAGCTTGTCCTTCAGAACCTTATTTGGCAGGTTAAGAAGTATAATAAGAAATTCTTTAGATGTAAAAGACATTGAGTTAAAAGAAGCGAGTGCATAGAAAGAGGAAGGAAGGTATACTTAAATAATGGGCTCTAAAGAGGACTTGAAAATTGGAAGTTTGGAACAGCCCTCAAACACACCTGCTAAAGAAATTGATTATCCAAATATATGTTGATTAACAATCAGATTTTGGGTTGATCTTCTGAGTGTGCATAGCTTACCAAAGCCTACGTGGTAGGGTGATTTGTGGTTTTATTGTGATTTTTTTTTTTTTTTTTTTTTGGTGGAATGGAAAAAGGAAGAAAAATAGGTTAAGAGAAGTAAAAGAATTTGGCATGTAATGTAATGAGGAATATGAGATACAATAAATTGTATTTCATCTTATTAAAAAAGAAAAAAACATGAAAAAAAGCAGAATTTTTTGAGTAAGGGACTCAAAGAGGCCAGTACTAGGTAGACCCTTAGGAATGATGAGTCCTGGAAGTGAAAGTATGTCTTTGGTTTGGTGACAGTCATGAGAATTGTTAATTTCCCAAGAGAATGTTCAGCAGTTTCATATATGTACTGTAATATTAGTTGTTGAAGAATATGGAGAATGTATAGTATGAACAGTACTCGGGTTAGTTCCCATCTGGATTACACACTGACTAATATTCGGGCCAATATGGGCTTATAAAGAGCTATGTTTTGAACACAGCAGCCAAATCAAATGTAAATGGTGAAGGAAATGTATTRATATTCCTTTTGTTAGCATAATCTTTTCTTGGCATTGAGTTAAAGTGTAAGAACCAGGTTCCATAGATTAGGATAATACCAAAAGTTAAACCTTATTTGAGTTTATTCTTTAGTGTGTCCTAAAGCAAACAACTTGCAATTTCAGGGTTTATAAATCATACCAGGGTATTAAAGCACAGTAATCGTACATGTCAGTGCTGAATGTGTGAAATAATGAAACATTACTGCTCTGTTAAGTATTTGGTTACTTTATTGGGGTGCATTTATACCCTTTTATGATTAATAACAGCATATCGTTATCACAGTAATTATCTTCTCCAGAATGTTTCTAAAAATAATTATTGTGATCACATCTGTTATTGCCCAGCAAGAGTTGGGGATAGGTTTTATTCAGTTAACACTGTATGTAATTAGGGTTTTTTTTATTTCTTCTTCAGTTGGCAGTTCTGCAAGTAGTAGTGCCACAAGGAGAGAGTCTCTATCTACTAGCTCTGACTTGTACAAAAGATCTAGTAGCAGCCTAGCACCCATAGGGCAACCATTTTACAATAGTCTGGGATTTTCCTCCTCTCCAAGTCCAATAGGCATGCCTCTGCCAAGCCAAACTCCAGGACATTCACTTACGCCACCGCCATCACTTTCATCACATGGATCCTCATCCAGTTTGCATTTAGGTAAAAAAAAAACCAAAACCCTTTTTATTTGTATGTATACATGTATGTGTGTTTGTGTGTGTGTTTATAATATATGTGAAATATTTGATGTTGGATAAAACATGCCAAATTGCTTTTGCTTTTAGCTATTAGCCTTTTGAAAAAGTTCTACTTTCCTGAAAATCCAAAATGAGGGTCTAATGTACAGTAAGGTAAAGACCCCCTGTTGTATCTTATGTTCCTTTTACAGAGTACAATGGTGTGATTTTTTTTTTCCTTGTCTGTGCTTTTGATTTGTGTTATTTAGAGCATCTGAGGAGTTGTTTCTACATGATAGTGAAAGAGAAATTTCACTATCAAAGGTTTTGCACACCATAAGAAAAGTAGTGATTGAACTACTTCACACAGAAATTGAACTTAAATAATTTAGTTTAGTGCAGTGGTTTTTGCTTTGTCCCTTAAATGCTCACCATTTTTCTAAAGAGTTACATCAAGGGATATGATTTTAATATGTTTGTTTGTTAGAGAAGTTGATGGACCTGGGCCATGTACTTCTCTTACTTTCAGTATGTTAAAGGAAAAAAGTTTTAGGCTTGTTATACCCCTGAAACTAGAATATATAGAACTTTCTATTTTTAAATTGTCCCCACTCCCAGATATCAAGTTTACGGTTACCTTTTATCCCTCTTTGGGAAGTGTTTATCTGTCTAGATAACAATGTATTTTGAAGGGTTTTTGGACATTAGAGGCTCTGTATGAATCTCTCCCTCATGAAAAAAAATTAGATTTTGAATTCTTTTTTTTAACTGTAATTACCTCAACTAAAACTGAAAGATTCTGTTGCTGAGTTTTATGTGCTTGGAATGATTTAAATTAGCTTATGGTTTCAAAAATAATGTTGCTGTTTTAAGCAGATAGAATCTAAGTTAGAAAGTCAGTGGAACCTGCCACTCCCAATCATATGGGTATAACTTTTTTTTCCTTAAGCTCTTAATGCAGTAATTGTCCATATAATAAAGTTATATGTTACCATAATCATCATTTAAATTTATGTTATTGTACAGTGAGATAGTTTCATTTGGTCCTTCCTTGCTTTCTTCCTTCCTTTTTTTTTTTTTTTTTTTAGGCTGTGGTTATTCTTTCCCAATTTTGGATCTTTGTTCTTTTGGAGATATTGAATATATACAATGAATTAATTTATTGAGATGGAGTCCTCAATCATCTTTGCTAAACTATTTATATGGACTTAACCAAATATGACTGGGTTTTAGCCTAATATCTTTACTTATCATCTGTTCTTCTTAGTCACTGGAGTTGCTCAGTCTCTGCTCCTATTATTACTASTGAGACACTCCTACTCATCCCATAATATATGCCTTTAAAATGGATCAAAAATTTGGAGCACAGGAAATCTAAGAATAGATCTTCATACTAGTTTTGTGTTTTATTGTTAAATTATATTTGTCATGTCCTGTCATCTTTGCATAGATAGGTTTCAGATCAGATTCCCATTCGACTGTTAATGCTTGTGTTGTGCTTCAGAGCCTTTGTAAATGGCATTGTTCTATATATTGGATATAAATTATTTTTTTAGATACCTCGTTAGATCAAGCTGAATCTAGATAAGTGCTTCTCTGCTTTTCTCTAAAGAATCTAGCCTACTATTTGCCTAGAAAGGAATTCTAGTTAGTTTGGGGAAATAATTACCACTAGAACCATCAGTTCTTTATTACAGATTAGTACTTTTTAATATCCATAGTTAAGCTCCTTAGTTTACCTTGATCTTGAAATTCAGTATTCAAACACAAGCTCTGATTCAAATAATAATTATCTGTATTATTTATTTTCCTTTGTAATCCCCTAATTTCCCTTTGCTTTAGTAGTAATACAGCTGGCAATATTAACAAAGATTAGTTTGTCAATTTAAAAATAATTCAGATTTCATTTATTTTCTCTTTTCATACTGTTCATGATAGAAGGCATCCACATTCCCTAATCTAAAAAATATATATATTTAAATTTTATATCCTTGAAATGGATTTCTTTTTGAGTCAAGTCTTAAAATTCTGATGACTTTTTGAGTCGAGTCTTCAAAAATTCTGAAACATAAAATTATACTAGAAATGAATTCACATTCATTTTTGTAAATCATTTTACTCAGCCTACATATGTATGACACGCGTACAATATAGATAAGTTCTCTGTCTCATTAGAATTGGTTGGAATTCTAGTACTTTCTCTTATGAGATTTTATTTTAAGAGATAATCATTATAATTATCAGTAGGCCTTGAGATCTGTATTCCCAAAGTATATAATGAAACTTTTTTTTTTWAAACCCAGCCCTCCCTTTGATTGTCAGTTTTTTGAAATTCATAGAAATTTCTAATAGCAACATTCTGTCTGACTTTACAAAGTAGATGATTCATTTTTTCCCAAAGAGTAGGTATTTTCAACATATGTTATTTGCAGGAAGACTAGTAGTCACTTTTTGATTGAGGAACAGTTATTCAGCTTATAAGTTTTAAGTGTTAATTTTTTATAATAACCTAGAACATTTCTGTTGAGACTTGCAACCCTGTTTTTTTTAAATTCTAATTTGTTATATATGGCAGCACAATGTATTACAATTCATATTACACATACAGAGTACAATCTGTGGTTATACATAAAGTATATCCACACCATTGGTGTCTTCATACATRTACTTTCTTTTTAAACCCCATGCCTTCTCTCTTTCCCTCCCACCCCTTTGCCCTATCTAGAGTTAGACTAATCCTCCCATGTTCCTCCTCTCAACTCCACTATTAATCAGCTTCCTTATATCAGAGAAAATATTCATCATTTGGCAACCCAGTTTTCTAATGTATTGAAGTATTAAAAAATAATTCTAGTCTTGTACTTTAAAAAAATACACCTTTTGAAATTAATTTCTCGTTAACTTTCTGATTTTCCTAATTTACTATCTGATTTTCCTAATTTAGTTAAATGTATTTTTTTCTTAGGTTGTTTTGTTTGCATGAGAGTCCAAATAAAGTATATACATTGCATTTATTTGATTTTTTTAAAATCTGCAATTGTTTCTCCTTTTTTTCTTTTATTTATTTTTTTTTTTAAAGAGAGAGTGAGAGAGGAGAGAGAGAGAGAGAGAGAGAGAGAGAGAGAATTTTTAATATTTATTTTTTAGTTCTCGGCGGACACAACATCTTTGTTGGTATGTGGTGCTGAGGATCGAACCCGGGCCGCACGCATGCCAGGCGAGCGCGCTACCGCTTGAGCCACATCCCCAGCCCTTTTCATTTATTTATTAGGAAAAAAAATTTAAAACTTTGTCCTATTGAGTTTCCCACATTTTTGAGTTTGATGACTGCTTCCTACTGGTGGTGTTTAACATGTGCCTGTCGGTCTATATTTTCTGTAAGTGAGATTTGATCTAGAGACTTGGTAACATGGTTGGTTGGTTTATTTTGGCAAGATGTGGTTCTGTGTGGTTCTGTGTGTCCATTGTAAAATTGCCAGCCAAATCTTCTGATCATTTTAGCAACTTCTGATCATTACCTAAATATTTCTTCAGAGCTTGCAAATTGGTTATACTCTTAATTTTGTATTTCTTTTGCGCTTAGTATCTGCAAATTTTGAAAAAAATTTAAAAATTTTTCTTATTAATTATGAGCTTAACCTGAAAGATAATTCATACAGGACTGAGGATAATGTTTGATTCTTTTCCCTTATTTTATAACTTTCAGAATAATAGTCGATGTTTTGGCAGTCTCTAAAGATGACTCATGGATTTTTATCCTTATTGTTACCTACAGATTAATAGTTTTGGGGGAAATTGTTTTAGTCCATTGTGTTCTGAGAAACACCCTAAAATTATACCATCTTTGGCCACTTGAGCCTTTTCTGAATGGTTCCCATGTTGACTACTTTTTTAAAAAACAGCACTTAAGTTACTGGAGGTCAGGAAAGAAGCAGAAAGAAACAGAGAACTTCAATGATTTAACCTGAAATGCACAAGGCAATGTAAAATTCTGGGCTTTAGGTTTAACATTCAACATTAAATGAATTGTTTTCTTCTCGTGTTATATTGAACACAAGAGATTGAGAAATCTTCTGCCTGAAGTTATTTTTTTAGTCATCTTCTAGCGGTATAAAAGTATGCCTACCTATCATACTTCCATTCTGTTTTTTGCTTTCAGTACATACATGAGATATTCAATACTTTATTATGAAGTCAGCTTTATGTTAGTTGATATTGCCCAAATGAAGGCCAGTGTAAGTGTTCTGAGTACATTTAGCATGAGTGAGGCTTAAGCTAGGGTGTTCACATAACTTGTGTGTTCAAATGCATTATGGACTTAGTATTTTCAGTTTATGATCGGTTTGTTGGGATGTAACTGCATTATAAGTCAAGGAACATCTGTACTTTTTATGAAGAATATTGAGTATTTCCTAACTCAATGAGATTCATTTATTGAAAGGTCACTGTCAGTTCAGAAGATAATGTCATACATACAGTAAATAAATAGTGTGTTTAAATTTGSTATAGATTGGAAAATTTTGTAATCTGTTCTTAATCCTAATCAGAATATTTTGTATTAAAAATAGAATGTTAACTCTTAGTATCACTTTTTCTGTTAAAAAATTTTGTTATTTGTTAAAATGCTAGCCTTGTGACCAACTTGGTTATAAGGCCATGTGCTGTTTTTCTGTACTATGTATGTTATGTTTGTTAATTAAAGCAAAGAACAATATAAATTATTTTGAAGTTATCACTGAAAATGCTGTTGTCCTTCAAGTCAGATTTCCTTTAACTCCAGAGCACATAGTCGTTTTCTGAAATACCTTCGTATTCATTTCATCCTAGATGTGGACATAGATTGTCTCAGTGATGGGATCAAAAATCAGATCCTAAGGGACTTGCTCAGACAAAATTGAGGGTAGCTTGCAATTCTGGCTCCTAATATTATCTTCACTTTTTCTATTATGCTATTCTATAAAGAATTGAACAATTTTACCAAGC